GAATGAACATAAACACTCAGTATAGATGATTCCTGTTCATTTATAACAGGGGCTGCAGAAAAAGAGATTGAGGACTCTCCCTTACACCCCTGAAAATAAAATAATTGAAAAAAAAATTGAAAAGGTTAGAATTGTTTTTTTTTCGGTTTCATTCTTACATTTTTTAAATTTTCGGTTTCATTTAGTTTTTGAAAATGTAATTTCGGTGCACCTCTAATAAAAACAATAAGTTGACAGCACAGAAGAGAAGTCTCATGGAATGCCTCCATGCCCTGGGCACTTGGAGGGGACTGAAGGCCAGCGTCCTTCCCTCTAGCTACAGACCCTGGCCTGGATTAAGGTTTTAAATTGCCAGTGGGGCTAGTACTGTGTATTGTCCTGGACCTAATATCTGTACTCCTCTATGGAACTCTCGGGTGGACATTTTGTGTGCCATGCCCTGCTGGTGCCACTAAGTCTGAACTGCTTCCCCCCCACTACAGACTCCCTGCAGAAATAACTACATCTTCATCCCTGATGAGCCTGCTGATATGATAACCTTAATAATCCTTTTGACATTAACCTTTTTGATAATCCCTTAATGGTTAACCTTTTCAGCTATTTCCCAGAAAAGTTAATTTCATCAAAATAATGTAAACATTCCTATGGAAGGTGGGATCTGTGAGCTATGAAATGTGTGCAAATGTGTGCAAAAAACAAGTGGTCACATGTTTTGTTCCCCTACCTTCACTGTGTCCTGACCAGTGACTGGGTGAATGTATGCAGCTGAGAGAGAGTGTGGGCAGAGATTCTGTTGGTTCCTGTTTTACCCGAACATTAGTTCTGTCTAATGCTTCTACTATTTCCAACTCTGCTAGCTAGTTCCAGCACTCAGGGAGCTAGTTCTACAAGCATCCCCAGTGGCATTTGGCATGGCGATTCTGCTTGCTACCTCCCAGGTAGTGAGCAGAATAGTAAAAAAGTTAAATGAAAAAAGATTTTGAAAAATGATGACATGACTGCACGCGATGAACTCCCGCCGCATAACGTCAAATCTGACAGATGCCGGCAAAATATAAACAATTGGGTGGAGCTAGTGGTGATATCACCGCTAGCTCCACCCAACTGTTTCCTATTGGCCGCCACCTGCCAGAGTCTTATAGCAGGTCCCGGGCAATAAATAACAACTGGGCGGAGCCGCCCAGTTGTTATTGTTTAATGGCAGATCAGCGTCCCCAGGTCATTTGGGGATGCTGATCTGTTATTACAACTGGGTATTGCAAGCCGTGATATTGCGGCTGGCTCCGCCCATCTGTCATTTGCGTGGAGATCGTTCAGCTTTGGCCGACCATTCTCCACACTTCCCCTGTCACTTCAGCTCAGCCAAGCCGAAGCATATGGGTTCATCTCGGCTGAGCCACTTGGCTGCCTTCGGCTGCTGTACCGCGTGTAGTGAATAGCCCGTACAGCAGGCCTTCAGTTCGACTGAACCGAAGGGCTCCCGCGGCCAAAGTGAGCCAAAGGATCAGCCGAAGCTGCGGCTGGATCCTTCAGCTCATATGTGAATAACTTTCTAAATCTATTGAACCTCAAACCACTGATAAAAAAATCAATTTATAAAAAAACATTTTGATCAATAGACCAATAGAATCTAAATAGCAACTTGAAAAAGTTAAAAAGGCAAACGTGTCCAACGAGAAAAAGTTGCAACTTTGAAATTTTTTCCCTATTGGCTAAAAACAATAACAAAGTAAATAGCAAAAGCATTAAAAGGAAAAGTACAAAAATGTAATTGTTTAAACTTTTTAAATGTATTTTTATGTTATTTTTCTATCAAGTCATGCATGATTATGACTAATGATCATGGTCCTGAATGCTGTGAAACAAACCCCACAAAACAAATGACAAATGTAAAAGTTATCAGCCAATTCCATTCATGCCTACTCTTTAATAGTTACCTGGCAAAGCCCTGCTTTTACTGAGCACGTGTGCATTCTCCATTTATTTACATCCATTGGGATGAATATGATTTCATGTAGATTGCATATGTAAGTATATGACTTGGGGAGGATGCTGGGAGTAGGAGGAGAGTAATCTTAAAACCACTATAGTTTTCCTTTAACAAAGAACTCCAGGAAAAATAAAGTTATTAAACCTTACAGTGGGGCTAACCCATCACTGAAAGGGTTAAGTGCTCATTTTTGTCTAGATGCTAAATAAAAATTATATATATATTTTATCTTGTCCTTAGACTGGAGTCTCAAGCGTCTCTCCCCCTGTGCTTCAGCGGTCTAAGGATCCTGATGTCATCACGCTCTGTGCATAGTCATGACACATTTCAGTGATCACAGAAGCAGGGAGCCACTCGGATGGTCTTTGCACATAGACAAGAATGAGCACTTAACCCTTGCAGTGCAGGAGTAGCCCGACTGCAAGGGTTAATAACATTTATTCCTGGAGTTCTTCTTCAATAAAGCGAAATGCCCTTCGATAAGGCTAATTGCAATTAGCAAAGTAATTGCTGAGAGACAGCAAGGAAGGTGTTCGAGCATCACAAGCAGATGTGTTCCAGGATCACCAGATTAACAACAAATGGGAGTGAGGTGGCCTGGAGCACTAAAGTACTACAGGGATCAGTCTTACAAACCATTATCACACAAAGTAAGGTGCTCGCTAAGAAAAATATTATTTTCTTTTTCATATCGGGGAGCCGGTAGATGTGGTATATCTGGATTTCGCAAAGGCTTTTGATACGGTACCACACACGCGCTTACTTCACAAGCTAAGGGCTATGGGCATAAATGAGGTGGTGTGTACGTGGATAGAGAACTGGCTACGGGAACGGGTCCAGAGGGTATCTGTAAATGGCACCTTTTCAGACTGGGCTAGTGTAATGAGCGGTGTGCCTCAGGGTTCTGTGCTGGGTCCCATATTGTTCAACTTATTTATTAATGACATCGGGGAGGGTGTTAACAGCGATATTTCCGTGTTTGCGGATGACACCAAAATAGGGAGGGTAATAGACACGGACTTAGACACTATAACATTACAGGAGGACCTGGATAAAATAGGGGAGTGGGCATTAATGTGGCAGATGAGGTTTAATGTCGATAAATGCAAAGTAATGCACTTTGGAATTAAAAATAAACAAATGGGTTATACAATTATGGGTATGCCGCTAGGGAAGTCAGAAATGGAGAAGGATTTGGGGGTCATTGTAGACCACAAACTGAAAGGTAGTTTGCAGTGCCAGGCTGCTGTAAACAAAGCTAGCAGGGTCTTGTCCTGTATTAAAAAGGGGATGTATTGCAGGGACAAGTCTATAATTTTGCCACTTTATAGATCATTGGTTCGACCTCATCTGGAGTACGCGGTCCAGTTCTGGTCACCAGTACTAAGAAAAGATGTCCTTGAGCTGGAAAAAGTCCAGCGGAGGGCAACCAAACTAATTAGGGGTATGGAGGACCAGAGCTACGAGACGAGGCTACTAAATTTAAACATGTTCACATTGGAGGTGAGGAGATTAAGGGGGGATATGATCTCCATGTACAAAATGTTCAATGGTGGCAGCAACATTAGCGATAAACTGTTTAAAATTAACTCCATTACAAAAACTAGAGGCCACCACCTAAAATTGGTGGAAAAAAAATTCCAGCACAAGGGGCGAAGGGGGTTCTTCACAGTAAGATCAGTTAGGGTCTGGAACTCACTGCCACAGGCGGTGATTTCAGCAAAGAATGTGGAATTGTTCAAGAAACTTTTGGACGATTTCTTAAGGGACCGTAATATACAGGGGTACAGGTACTCCTAGAATGAGATCCTAATAGGTTGGACTTGATGGACTAATGTCTTTATTCAACCTCAAATACTATGTAACTATAAACAGGTCAATGTTTAATATAATAATACATATTCATAGTATTGCATTAGACCAAACTGGAATGGTCACTTATATGGCTCCAAAGCTTTAATGGGGCGCAACATCTTTGGTACAAGCACAAAGTACAAACATGTGAATTAATTAAATACACTTGCGATGATAGGGTTTGCCTGTATATGAGATAACATTTGTGTTTGCATTGAGCTGCCTAGGAGACCAATATCAGTTTTTTTTGCCTCTGATAAGAAACATCATGATGTCTGTGGCAAAGACTGTATTGAGGAAGGAAGCAGAGCTAGAGGAAATGAGTAAATAAATACGCAAATATGCAACAAAACTACAAAAGGACAAGTTTCAACTGAAACAGCAGGTATATTAACCACTAAGAGAATTCAACTACCAGTTCTAGGAATGCCATGTCAGTGAAACTGTGCTGTGGTTGAGGTGTTGCAAGCTACCAATACCACAGAACCAAGCCAAAAATAAAACATAGTTCAAACTTGTCCTTTCGTTCATTTAGAATCTAGTTTTATTAAGATGTTTTGACAAAAGCAAGAGAAGAATGTTGCTATTTTCTCATTCACTAAAGGAAGCAAATCAAGAGAACTATTTCCCCTTTGAGTTTTAACTGTGGCATAAATAATGCGGGTTTCACTAATATAACAATGTTTTTGTTTTCTTTTTATATATTATTCTTTTCTGAACTTATAAAAAGCAAACATATCCTGCTGTATTTAACGGAGCGCATAGAACCCATCAGAGCCAGCCCCATAGGAGCTTGCCACGCCCCGGCTCATTTGACATGCACTCCCCTGGTCATATTTGATTAAAACAGTGCATTGCACTTCATGCACAGTTCTTATGTATTTGAAAACATCTACAATTGTAGGACACACATTATTGGATCAGATTTGTAATAGTTTTGCTGCCTATGTCAACTTAAATCTATTGAATTACTGGAGGTGGAAAACATTAGACTGGTTGCTATAAACACTAATTGGTATGCAGTACTGCCCAATCAAACAATAATAAATAGACACTGCCTGCCAACTTGTCCTTTGAGTGTCTGTGTAAAGGGGGCGTGCTGAGACTACACCGCTCGAGGGCACGAGCAGTGGGCCCGGGACAGCGAGCGGTGTGTCTAAGGGATAAAGCCGGTGGAGGGTGAAGGAACGGAGGTATATACGATGTGATGTGGCAGAGCAAAGCGGCGTATATACGATGTGATGTGGCAGAGCAAAGCGGCTACGCGCTTCGAAGAGCACGTCTTCTTTTTCAAGCCAGGGAGTGAGCGACTCAGTCTCCGCCCCCGATCCTCCCAGCGTCCAGGCTCACAGCCACTGTCCTCATCCAGCCGCCTGTCACAATTCTGCAGGCTGCCCCACACAGCTCAGCACCCGAGCTATAGCCCACTTTTACAAGCCCTCTCCTCACTGTGCAATCAGCATTTCTCCCCCCTACCCAATACCCCTGCCACACACAGCATCTGGACACAGGCTCCCACTGACACAGAGCCCCCCTCAGGTCCCCACGGCAGTAACATACCCACACACCCCCATCTGCGTTCACACATTTTGGAGTACCCATCACTCCCACCAACCAAGGACTCCCATCCATCCACCCCTCGCCGATGATAACGCGCCAACATCCACTTCTTGGTAAGTTTTAAATTCCCTTCCAGGGTTTTACCCAGTCATTATATGGTAGTAGCGCTTCTGTACCCCTTTTTTCTGTTCCTATTGGCAAACGGCGGACACCCCGGTCCCCACTTCTATGAAGCAGCACACCCAACACTTAAATTAACACCCACAGATCTTCACCTTAGTGCGAGCGCTGCATCAGGGGACAATTCTCCCAATTTTTCATATTAGAGATCAAGAAACAATGTGCAGCAAGCATGTAACAATCACAGTTTATTCTTGTGTAATCTTTGCAATATAATAATAAAAGTTTACAAGTCATCTTCATATTCATAACTCAAATGTTTAGCTTTCTGTTGGGTTTGCCATAATTTAGAAAAGAAAAATGTAATTTAGTAATGTGTGGACAGGAAACACTTTTCATGCATGTAAGTGCGAGTATGCTAACCTTCATTTTCCTGTATGATGAAAGGAGATATCATCGACAAGCAGTTAACGATGGACGCCACTCTGTCTGGCATCATTTTATCACCCGTGTGACTGAAGCCTATGCATAAGACTTTGTCAGCAAAAACAACATTTTACTTAAGTGGCCTTCACTGCAGGTGATTTTGTCGTAGTGGTCATCAAGTGAACCTGTGCTATCCCCAAGGTCAGTTTAGTGCCCTCCATCCCTGCTACACTTACAGGTGAAACTCGAATAATTAGAATATTGTGCAAAAGTAATTGCAGTAAGTGCTGCAAAAGGGGCCCAAACCAAGTACTGAGTACATATGCATGCTTGTACTTTTCAGAGGTCCGATATTGTTCTATGTACAATCCTTGTTTTATTGATTGCATGTAATAATCTACTTTTTTGAGGTTGTGGATTTGGGGTTCTTGGGGTTTTCATGAGCTGTAAGCCATAATCATCACAATTATGACAAATCACGGCTTGAATTATCTTGCTTTGCATGTAATGAGTCTCTCTCATATATTAGTTTCACCTTTTAAGTTGCATTAGTGAAATAAATGAACTTTGCACGATATTCTAATTATTCGAGTTTCACCTGTACTCATCTTTCATTTACTTTCCTGAGGCTCTGTTCAGCCACCAAAACCAAGGGAAAAGAAGTCCTACATAAGCTCTATGTTGTTATGTACAGAGCTTAGACAGGGCTGAAGTCTTTCCACCCCCAGCTGACAATGCTGGGGCAATCACCAAGCACCAGAGCTGTCACTTGAGAGGAAGTGGAGTGAGGCACATTCTCCTCCATTTCTGAAAGTATGAGGAACATTCTTTACTGAATGGAGCAGTGGGAAGAAAAGTTGAGTGCATGCTGCTGGAGCCTTCAAATGACCTGTTTTGCCCTTTGTTGGAAAAAAGCACACGTTCACTCCAATAGGGCAGCCAACGGTTTAATTTATGATTCTGCATAGAGGGTGGAAGGGTTTAAACCTCTGTGTGTGGCCCCATTGGAGAGATGTCCCCTTACTTTCTGTGCTGGTGGTCACTAGTCAATAATTATAAATTGGGCAAACTTGGGCTGGGCCAAGGGGATATGAAGGGAAGGTGAGTATATGCAGCTGGAGAGGGGGCATTAAAGTGAACCTGTTGCTTTGCTCTTGATGGGCAACACAGGGTATTTACTAGAGAGAGTCCACACACATCTATTAATGATATATGAGGAAATACAAAAATAGGAAAAACATGAATATTGTGTAAAATACATATATTTAAAAAAAACTTCAACAACTTTGTACATCACATTTGTTTGCCAGTTTGTTAATTACTGCAATATAGTTCTGTGGTGAACACTCCATACTGCAGGAGTTCCTAACCTAGGTATGTCAAACAAAGCCTGTCATGAGAAAATCATAGTAGCTACCACTGCTAACCTCTCCTTTTAAAACTACTATGCTGATGCTGATCCATGCTGATCCTCTCGCTTTAGTACTTTGAGTCACCAGCCAAGGACAAGCATACAGATAAGGACTTCTGACCTTTCCCTGACTTTCCTGATCTGCATCTTTGACTCAGAACAGTATTGACTGGTTTACCAAAAGCTTTGGCCCCAATACTGCATATCAGACAGTCTTAAGAGAGATCTTCAGTTCTGGCTTGTGGCCTTCCAGCTTTCTTTCCGTAAAGTGTACTGAAAGCAATTCTAGAAAAGAAAAGAAAAAAAGACATATTTTTCCAACCATGAGATTTTTTTTAAGAGTACATGCTGGGAGGACAGGGTTCATCCATGTCTTCATGCCCACCAACAGCCCTGACTTCTATGTGGTTTATCCAATTTTCCTGGTACCAAGTGTTGTAAGTTATGGGACATTTATATGATTGTAAGTATGTCTGCAGGATGTATTTGGGGTTATGAAAATGAATGCTTATTAAGGAAATAATTTTTGCTGATTCTATTTAAACACACCTCTTGTGCTAACCAAGTCTTTATTGTAATAAACTTCCTGACCAGCCGGGTCTGTGATCAGACTGTGTTCAAGGTTGTGGAGCATTGTTTGACTGTACACAATGGAAACAGTTCTGATTGATGTAACATCAAAGGGATCATCAGATCAGCCAATTAGAAATCCCTCCAGAGTTAGTGACTGGCAGTAAAGTCCATATGAAGAGTGAGATTAAGAGATGTCTAAGAGAGTGATGAAGAGAAAGGCCTAGGTATATAGTACATAAAGTCATGCACATCACATGCATTGAAGACACACAGGTGCATATATATACTGGATATATACTGTATGTGGGGTGTATGGTGTGTGTATTCTTGCTAATATCATCACAAAAGGAAGGGCCTAGAATTTTGAAAGGGACTAGTTGCGGTTTTATTTTTAGTTATTATTTTGTATATACTCTGTTGGACTTGCCATCTGTTTCTGGGATCCAACAAACATTACACTCTCTGTAAAAGAACTGAGGTTGCATGGATATTGATCTATACATTCCTTTTCCTAACACATATAAATATATGCATATTTATATATTTGTAGAATGCCACCAAGTCGGAAGGCTTTGCCAGAAGTGGAATAAATCAGAACTACTGATCTTATGGCTTAGCAGCATCAAAGGAGTGTAAATACAGTATATAAATCAGGAGTAGGGGACCTCAGTACTCTAGCTGTGGTAAAGCTACAAATCATATCATGCTTCTGCCTATGGGAGTAGTTTCTGTGGCTTTCAGAGTCTTGCAATGCTTCATGGGATTTGTAGTTTCACCACAGCTGGATTGCCAAGGTTGCCTACCCCCGATACAAATTCCCTTCTACAATCATCGGGATCAATACGTAAAACACTTCACTCCTGGCCTGCAGGTTCTCGTTATGACTTGTGTAATCACATAAGAATGTAGAAAACACCAAGAGTGCCAGTGCACTTCTTTTGGTGTATTTATACATTTATCAGAAGAGGGCATTTTGGTGTAAGTGTAGAAGATATGATTTCGGGGCCAATGAGTTTGAAAGGGGGATGACATACTAACCAGACAGAATATTTTATTAAACAGGTTTCAAATCAGGGCTTTATCCAAGTGACCAGTTAGAAATGTCTGGTCCCTACTGCTCTAGGACGTCTTTAAAGTAAACATGTTGCTTTGCTCAGGCATTAAAACTATGATGATGGACTTGGTTGACCTAAAAAGCATTTTTTTTATTTAAAAAACAAAAAAACAATTGGCTAATGGATGGGAGCTGGGTGGTCCGGAGGAGTGGGTAGAGAAAGTGGTACCTTTGCCCAGAGATGGACTTTAAAAATATGCTTTTGATAATTTGTAGGTCGATATGAGTATCCATGAGAAGTCTAGAGTGTTCTCTCAGGACTTTGGGAAAAAGGTCACTGGGGCCTGTGTAAACAGAAACCTTGCCGCTTAAATTACAGTATAGCTCAAGCTAACTTCAAGAAATCATCTTTCCCCAAAACAAGTCTTTAATTTGATATTAATTAGTTAGGCACATCATGCCAAATCCCTACTTGTCTGTATCATAGCTCATTCATCAAACCTGCCAACTTTATGAAGAAAGGACCTGAATTTTCACTAAGTATTCAAGATAATTCCCAGATATTGCTTCGGGATGGTTTTTCATTAGACACGATAGGCTTATGCCTATATGTGGAAAGGAGATGTCTTTTTCCTGTGTAGACCAAACATTTTTCCCATAATTATCAGAGTAATACTATTTTCTAATAAGCTATAAGTGGCTATTATAGCCACTTAGAGGCCAATAGGTGGTCTACATAGGCTAATAGGTGGTCTCAACTAGCTATAGGTGGAAAGGGTGTCTTTTCAATGTGTAGACCAAACATTTTTTCCATAATTAGCAGAGATATATTCTTCTCAAATAAGTTATAAATGGCTATTATAGCTACTTAGAGGCTAAAAGGTGGTCTATATAGGCTAATACGGTAGGTGGTCTCAACTAGCTATAGGTGGAAAGGGGTGTCTTTTCCATGTGTAGGCCGAACATATTTTCCAGAATTAGCATGGATATATTCTTCTCAAATAAGTTATAGATGGATATTATAGCTACTTAGAGGCTAAAAGTTGGTCTATATAGGCTAAGAGGTGGTCTCAACTAGCTATAGGTAGAGAAGAGGCACATTTTCCATGTGTAGGCCAAACATTTTTCCATAATTAGCAGAGATATATTCTTCTGTGTGAAGGAAATCTAGTCTTGTGTTAGCTCCTTAGATGCCGTTCACATTTCACTAGCCCCCTTAGGTGGTGCTTACAAGTATGGAAAATTCCTATACCCTTCATCATCTAGATGGCGCTAGTGGCATGCAAACAGCATAGCCGGGCAGAAGTTTTATAAATAAACTCCAATGTGTTGAAAACAGAACATTTTTACAGGAAAGCAGGTAGGACAAATGCAGAAATAATGATTCATATTAAATCCTAATGTTAAAGTGTATGTCCAGCTAAATTGTTGTTTCTTATTTTTGGAATGGGGCTCCATTAGACATTTTCCCTCACTTCCTGACAACGCTTTACCAGACAGGAAGCGAGGGGAACACTTTAACAGCAACACAGGCAGAATTTTTTTTTCTTTTCGTATAGTAGGAGAAGGCTGTAGGCCCTGTCAGATTTTTATTTCTGTCTGTGTCCTTGTTGCAGGTTTTCCCTCACTTCCTGTCTGATGAAACCATCACCAGCAGAACAGGAAGTGAGGGAAATTCTCTCCAGACAAGCCTTGGAATCCCACCAGTTGTTCTTCCTCTCTTTATCCACAACCAGAAAAAATAATATTAGCTTGACATATACTTTTATTGAAATTTAAAGCAAAGAAACATGTTGTGAGATAAACACAGGAGCTCACGATTTGGCCCTCTCCTGAAAAAGCTTACTGTCTGTCATACTGATCCTCTGGCTTTAATCACAGCATGAAGATAGTAACTTATGACTTTTCCCTGACTTCCCTAATCTGCATAGCTGTCCTGGGTCAATGGCCTGGACATAATTAAAGCCAATGAATGATTCAGCATCACAGCCAGGCAGATATCATTTTAGAAGGAGGGTAGAGATATCAGCCCATGTATTTACTCATGACATCTCAATTCTAGAAAAAAGTGGCAGAAAGACAAAGCAAAGTGAAAATTTGGTAAAATCAGAAAGGAATGATAATGTAGTATGTGTGCAGAAAATAAAACTGTGCAGCAAAATAGGTAGCTGTATAAAGCGTGACAGGTTCACTATAGCTGATGTATTCTACCTACCGAAGAACTTCCAGGGATTCCAGTAACTGGTCAGTAATGCTGCCGAGTGCGCTGTTGCCGCTAAAATTACGTCTTACATCCAGGACTGAAAGGCTCTGATTGGTTCTCAGAGAAAGAAGCAATGGGGCATGTTCATCAGTCATCCCGACCTTTTCCAGTCTGTGGGAGAAACACAGAAAACCTCTTTGCAGAACTCAAATATTACCCAATCTTCAACCAAAATGCAAGCAAATAACATTGGAAAGAATTTCTTAAAATATAAACAAAACAAACAACCACATTAGCTGCACCATGCTGCAGTTTTAAATGAGGATTAAGAAAAACAACAAAAACTCAAATAGCAAATAGTTAATATTCATGTGATGAAACAAGCAAGGACGGAAGACCTGGATGGTGTTTCAGGCTTCTTTCTGATTTACAAATGGAGATTAAATACCTGTGTGTCCATACTCTTAGAACAGTATAAATGTGGGATACTCACTGTAGTTCCTGTATCCTGCATGTTGGACTGGACAGAGCTGTCAATAGGTCTTTAAAGTGAGGACCAACCAGGTGGTTGAAGGACAGGTCCAGTTTCCTAAGAGACTGATTTTGACTTATTGCTGATGCCAGCTGAGAAGAGGACCCGTCTGTTAATCCACTATCCTTCAATCTGCAGAGACAAGTAAAAGGTTAACAAAGCTGCGTCTATTCATAAACAATTTGCAAGGCCTTTAGCCCTGTGAATATCTGTGAATGTTTAATCAGTGTGAATATATGCTAAAATAAACGTTCCTTAGTTTTTGTTTACAAGCGCAAAGAATTTTCAAACACTTTCATGTAATATCACATTATGCCAGAGGTTTGTCAGATTTCAATTTCTGTGAACCAGATCTGTACAAAGTAATTCTCCGACTGTCATTGGGTTAAACAGAGCCAGCAGACCCCTCAAAGTATCAACGTTGATGTCTTCATCTTGATGGAGATAAAGAAAAGGGAACAATACTGTCCCCATTGAGCATCACCCCAACATACTTTTTTTTTTTAACTGTAATTTAAATAATAGAGATAAAACTTTTTTTAAAACATCCCCACTGATATCTGCCCTGCGCAATGAGGGGAGAAAGCAGGGGAAGAATCCACAGAAGCGGGCACCAGATGGGAAAAAGTTTTTTGTAAGTAAATTATTTTGTTGTAAATCCTCTGTTTTTGGCTTTTATTATTTAAATATTTAGGCTATTTCTTAAAGGGAAAGTAAATAAAAAAGTTTTATTTTAATTATTATCATGGTTTTTAATAATTAAATCTACAGGCTTTGTTATTATATACGTGTGATATACTGTAAATTTTTGCGGTATTATACCGTGTGATATACTGTATATGCCGCTGTATTATACTGTATGATATACTGTATAGACCACGGTATTATACTGTGTGAACCAGCCCGGCCCTCGACTTGGAGCATTTTTTAAATTTTGGCCCACTGTGTATGTAGCAGAGGAGTTTGACACCTCTGCTCTAGAAGAAAAAGATGGCATTAGGAGGCACTCAGAGATCAAACAAGAGAAGAGAGTTCCTGTGGTGGAGGTGTTGGTAGGGTGTTACACACTTCAATACAATTATCTGATCAAATTGCAAATATATATACATGTATATATATGTGCGGTACAAGGTGGGTACAGCAACTCCAGGGACTATACTTATGTATATATTACAGGGCTTGAAAAATCCACTCGTCTGCGCGTCTGTGACAAGAGGGCGGTGGAGCCCGACGAGCAGCTTCCAGGCCGGCCGTTGTAATTACACGGCAGGCCGGGAGCTTTACATTCAAGCGATCGGGCGTCTCTAGAGACACCCGATCGCTTGTATTACCTGCAGCTGTCACTGCTGTTGCCGTTCCCGAGGTCCGCTGTGCCCGATGCGGCCGGGACCGGCGTGGCTTTGTGACAGGAGATCAAAGGGAGTTCAGTATACGATCTCCCTTTGATCTCCTCTCAGTCCCCGAATGCAGGAAGTGATGTATATTACATCACTTCCTGTATTCAGTGTCACTCTCCAACTACAGAAGCTGATGAAGCCGATCTCTGCTTCATCAGCTTCTCTGGGGGTCACTAGGTGATATTAGGGGTCTTGGAGACCCCTGATGTCTCCATAAAGCGTTTTAATCGTCACCTATGGGCAGGGCTCGAAAATCCACTCGTCTGTGACGAGCAAACGGTGGAGCCCGACGAGCAGCTTCCCGGCCGGCCGTTGTAATTACACGGCCGGCCGGGAGCTTTACAATCATTATCATAAACCAATTGCAATTGTTACAATACCTATACCATACTAACTTCTTTAAAGAGAAGTATAAATAAGATGGAAGGAAAGGAAGCAAGTGGGATGCGATCATTTGCATTACCCTTATCTAACCACAAGATGGCAGAAAAACATTAGGGTTGAAGTTTGAGTTCTCCACCACCATGGGTTAAATCTGAATTATACGGGTTCGAGATTTGCAGTTCCAGTAAACTTATGTGCAGATTTGCCCAAGAGAATTTTTATTAAAACCATAAAGCACTTCATGGCCTTCGAACTATGGTCAGCGGGCTTCAAAAGTCCAATAAGGGGCTTTCGGATAAAGCATGTATTGCTGCTAAAAATACGTGGGGGAAAAAAGAGTTAAGCCTTACATAGCCACGTACAGCTTTAAGGCATCCCCATGCATGTTAAGGATTTGTATATTTTCAGTGTTTCCCTTGAAACTGCATAAAAACACACAATCCCTGTTGTAAAAAATAAATGTTTTCCATGTCCCCCATGGCCGTGCACAGATTTCCAGTTTGACTAGTAGTTTGACTATTTGTTCTAAAATGGCCAGAATTTAATAACATGACCCACCTGTTGTATACATAGACTAGATGAACTGGCTAAATACTAAACAAGTAGAAACCGGAAAAAAAAGGTAAGGAGAAAGAAAACAGAAGATGGGATGAAAGATAGAGAGAAGAACAGCAAAAGGGAAAAGAGACATAAACAAGTGGTGAACAGGAATTAATGAGATTGTTTACAATCAGTCTAAGAGTTTATTACAAATGAAAATTAAGACTTAGAAATGAATTCAAGTTAGATACAATAAAACCAGGAGACAATGGACACGTATTATGTCAATGGCCTAGTCTCTTCATAGACTGAAGATTATATAAACTTTCCCTGACATTATAACACACCATCTCTGATAATTCTTTGCTGGTCCTCTTAGGACAAATGGAGATCTGCAGGATACAGGAACGATTGATTTACTAGGTAGAAATATGCGTATTAGAGTGCTCTAGGTTTCAAGGTTCTTGAGGTGCCAGACACAGTACCAAGGTATGTACAGGCACCTGGGGGTGATACGTTAGCTTTCAGTGCAGAGAAACTGGTGCTGGATGTTTAATGATGCAGATATCCTGCATCCTCCTGCAGACCCCATTATTACCCTAACATCAGCACTAACCCAAACGCTAACTCTCCCTGCAACCTTAATCTGCACATTACCCCTCCTTGTTACCCTAACACTAGCACTAACCCTCCTTGTACCCTTAATCTGCACATTAACCCTCCTTATTACGCGAACACTAACCTTCCCTGTACCATTAATCTGTACATCAACCCTTCTTGTTACCTTACATTAGCACTAAACCTAACACTAACCCTCCTTGTATCCCTAATCTGCATATAAACCCTCCTTTTTACCTTAACACTAGCACTAATCCTAACACCAACCATACCTGTAACCCTAATCTTCACATTTACCCTCCTTGTTAACCTAACACTAACCCACCCTGTAAAATTAATCTGTACATTAGCTCTCCTTTCTACGCTAACACTAACCATAACACTGATCCTCCTTGTAAACTTAATCTGCTCATTAACCCTCCTTGTTACCCTAACATTAGCACTAACATTAGCCCTGCTCTGCATATTAACCGTCCTTGTTACCTTAACACTAGCACTAACCCTCCCTGTAACCCTAATCTGCACATTTACCTTCCTTGTTACCCTAACACTGACCCTCCCTGTAACCTATAGATTGAACTTGATGGACTTGTGTCTTTTTTCAACTTGAGTAACTATGTAACCTTAATCTGCATATTAACCCTCCTTGTTACCCTAACACTAGCACTAACCCTAACACTAACCCTCCCTGTAACCTTAATCTGCATATTAACCCTCCTTGTTACTCTAACACTAGCACTAACCCTAAACACTAACCCTCCCTGTAACCTTAATCTGCACATTAACCCTCCTTGTTACCCTAACACTAACCAACACTTAATATGCACATTAACCTTCCTTGTTACCTTACATCCCTCCTTGTACCCTAACATTTTGGATAATAATCATACAACTTGAATGTAACAAAAGATGCAAAGCATGTGTGAAAGAACACTGTTATTCATGTTTCCAAGAGCAATCTGAAGTGCACCTGTGCTGGAATGATGACCGAGGAGGTGGGTGCTGCACTTGTTTCAGACAATTATGTATCTTTTGGTGCACATTGAAAGTGTAATATTTAAAGTGGAAATTCTGGAATGTATTTTCTCTTTTAAGGAGAACGGACCCTCTTCTGAGTCTCTAATGCCTTATGGGACCCTAGAAGTGTCTTTATTACCAGTATGTACCTATTTGGGAGACTTCCTTTCACCTCCTGTTGATATGACAACGTTGTAACTGGAAGTAGAAAGAATTGTCCCCCAGCGGGGTCAAAGACACTGATATGAACCAAATGAGAAAAAGTAGCACTGTTTGAGCAGTTTTAAGTTTTGCACTTACATTATTTCTTGGAGTTTACATGACGGGCTAGAAAGAGCGTCCATTAGGTTAGTGAACAGAGGACCAATCAGACAGCTTCCTGACAAGTTCAGAGACCTCAGAGATTGATTAGCACTTATTGTAGAGTCCAGTTGGATAGAGGAACTGTCCAGCTTTCTACCATCACAGCTCAGACTGTAAAGGAAACACAAAATAAAAAGTGTGGTTAGGAAGGGTGCCTTGATGAATACATCAAACCTATCAAGCCAAAACATTTTTTTATAGAGTGGAGAAATGCTAGAATCACTGTCAACTTTTAATTGCTGTCCATGCTAGTGTTGCAAATTTTGCCTCACTTCCTGTTCAGTTAAACTATTCTTAACTGGACGGAAAGCAAGGAAAAATATCTCTAATTGAGCTCTGGATGCAGGGTTGCCACCTGTCCGGGATTCACCTTTACAGTCAGGTTTTTTAGTCTTGTGCCTGGGTTTCCAGCCAGCTGAGACCCAGGCACAAGACGCTAAGTGCCGATAGCGGCACTTTACATTTTTTAAAGATATGGCTGTCAAGGTCCCCATGTCACAGTTCAGCTGCAGGGTTGCAGCTGAGCTGTCACTTGTAGTTCCACAACTATGTGCAGACCTTTTACTCCTGCTCCTGCAGGCATGCAAGGCTGTGCTATTACGTGTAGTCCTCCAGGCATGTGCTCTCTTCCTAACTTGCTTTTGCACTAGTCTGACAGCTTCAGGCGTCAGCCGCCCTTTCCTGCTGATTCTTATGCAATCAATCAATGATTTCAGCGGGTGGCCAATCCTGTGGTTCCTCCTCTTGCTTACTCTGTTTAAACCCAGGGCAGTGCAAGGCACACTGGCAGAGCAACACTTTCCTAAACTAGATGCTGAGACCCCGATTGCCGTTGAAGCTAAATTCTTTTAGCTTAACTGTGTACCGAACTCTGGATTGTCCTTGGGAATCCTTGTCCACAGTCTGTCCGGTACTCTGCTTTGTCCGTGGATATCCCTGTCTGCAGTCTGCCCTGTGCTTCATTTTGTCCTTGGAAATCCTTGTCTACAGTCTGTTCCTAACTTTGGCTCATCCCTGGAAGTGCTAGTCTTCAGCCTGTCCCTAACCTTTGATTCGTACCCTGTACCTGTGTCCGCAGCCTATCGAGAACTTTGAGTCTTCGGCAGCGACTAGCTGAGTTGGGTGAACCTAGGGATTGTGACCTGGTATCAGCACACAGCCAAGTCCATCTCCACCATCAGGAGCTCTGATAAAGAACGTCTCACCCCTAGACTCCACATCCTGGGGACCCCATGCTATCTACTCAGCATTGTAGCACCCTGCCTTGTACTTGAACTTCCAGCTGAACCTGACTTCCCCTGCCTAATTCAGCTCATCAGCTCCATTCCCTGCTTGTACTCCAGCTCTAGGAGTTGTCAGCCTACACTGCTTGCACTCTTTGAACTAGGTATCCTTGCAAGTGTAGCAGGAGGGTCCACATTCCTGATTCCAGGTCACAGTTGTGACACCCAGCAAGTGCAGGACCTCAGCCAGTGTCAAGGCTAGTAAGGTGTACCAGGATCACAGCTGCAGAACTCGTAGGGATTAAGGAGGTTTAGGGGGAAGGTCAGTGAGCCGCTCCCAATTACACCAAGTGCAGTAGGGAGACCGCACTCATCATATACTTCCTTAGCCAATTAGGTGGGATGGTCACTGTGAGTAGTGGTTAACAGACCCCACTCCTGCCGCCAGGAGCACCAACCTGCAACTACTGTGAAGTTATAAGTATGGCAGCAGAATCCTTAGGCAGTCTGTCAGACAGAAACGAATACTACCTCTATGCATCTATACACATCAACTCTAAACAATGACAGTTATAGCACGCAGTGTAGGAACATGCAGTTAGTTGCACAGGACAGATATGTATATCAAGCACTTGGTTATTGATCTATGGTATTTTGCAAAGTAACAGTTAGCATATACAGCAGCAGAATTGGCAAGCACAGGAGCAGGAGACACTGCATAGGCAATTGGATCACAGACAGTTTTCATGCACTTCAACTAGTACACAGTGGCTTTAAATGATTAGTTTGAGAGCAGTTCAGATAATGGCAAGATTAGCAAGCACAGTAACACACAGCGGTCTCTGAGGCACTTGGGTCTGAGACCCACGATACTTGCAGTTAGCTGTTTGGATAGCTCTTAGCTCACAGCGGCAGGGGAAACTGGCTTGTCTGAAGGCTCTGCGTGTTCGGATGCTGCTGAAATCCGGCTCTCTTTCTTGCAGGTTCTCTGTTCGTCACTCGAGTCTCCAAAACGAGAGAACGCCGAGTGACGAGCCAGCTGACCCTTTACCCTGATAGCCGCGCCCCGTGGGAGGAACCGCCGTGACGTCACGCACGAGACGACACGTCGCTGGAGTGCGGGGACCTCGCCGGGTAAGTCTGTGACAGCCAGCCACATCTGCCTGTGAGCCAAGGGCACCTGTAAACAGGCGCAGACGGGGAAATCCCCTCCTCTGTCTTTCTGGCACCACGCTGCCCGCCCCTGGATCACTGATAAGACACAACACAGGCCACACAGCACTCCTAGAAGCCCACAGAGCACACCTGAGACCCTACACAGCCACCTGAGAGCCTGCATAGCCCACCTGAAAGTCTGTATAGCCCACCTGAGGGCCCATGCAGCCCGCTTGAGAGTCCATATAGTCACCTAAAAGTCTGCATAGCTCACCTGAGAGTGCACATAGCTCACCTGAGAGTGTCCAGAGTTCACCTGAGAGCCCACACAGCCCACCTGAGAGCCCACACAGGCCACCTGAGAGCCCACACAGGCCACCTGAGAGCCTACACAGGCCACCTGAGAACATGGAGACATCAGGATGCCACCCCGCAACAACACAGAGTATGTTGCTTCATATTATTTTGTATTGCTCTATATTGTATTGCTGGGATTGTTAGTCCTCTATAGCCGGTCTCCTTACTCCCTCCCCTGGCTGTCTCTTCTTGCTCTCTCTCCTGGCTGCCTCCCCTCGCTCTCTACTCTATATTCTCCCCCCAAAAAATGCTGCGCGTAGCACTAGAGTGTTCGGGTTTTACTTGAAGAAAAGGTGGCAACCTATCTGGATGGCAGTACACACCTAACGGGTTCTAGTCCTTCCCCAATCTATCCAAAATTACATTGGTTGGTCTTAAACTTTATTTATAATTGACTAACATAGTATGTGTCTAGACAGACTCAGACCTTTGTCATCTGTCTTATCAACAGGGCTAAGCTTCAGAGGGCAAAGTAACACTATATGATTTTAGTTAATAAATGATGTAACACCTGTGCATAACGCTGGCTCTGCAGTTGAATGACTACTAGACTATACTGTATAAATATATAGGAAATCTGCCATAAGCAGAACCCAGGGTTTCTATTTTATTCTTCGACTTAAAGGAGAACTATGAGGTGAGTGAAAATCACTCATCCTCATAGTACGAGCCGACGTGTGACAATGAAACTGTCACACGTTGGCTCAATAGATCGGGAAGTGAGCAAACACATATCGTCGCTCGCTCACTTCTCGATCATTTTCCGGCAGAGAACGGTGACTGTTAGGGATCCCCACTCCCTCCCATCTCCGATCCTTCAGTGCTGAGTGGAGGAACGGACGGGGATAGGGGGCGGGTACCTCTAGATAGGCAGAGCCAGCTGTCACTCACGCAGCTGGGTGGATCTCGACAGTAATTTCGGGATCTGTCCCCGCTGCAGCGGTCTCTGTATACTGCAAGCTATAGCTCACGATATACTGAGCTTTGGGTCACGGAGGACGCTAGTATATGTCCTCCCGTGACCCTTAAGAGAACTATGGGGGAAAACCCTTACCCCATAGTTCTCTTTTAAAGTTAAACCCCATTTGTTGAGAGAAAACAAAAATTCTCAACTGTTCAATGGTATCAATTGCAAGGATTTTAGCTAGAGGCACTGCACATTTGTTTCTGTTATGTGGATACTGACGCATGTATTGATGTCACTTGCTGCTTACCGAATGCTAAATGCTATGGTCACATGATCAGTCTCAGTAGCAGGAGAAAAACTGTTGGGAAAAGGAAGGAGCTTATTCATGACTGATTCTTCTTCTCACAGTGAAAATGCTGCCTTCTACATTATCACTTCACTGCTCTATGTTGGTGGAGCTGAGTAAAAGCACACCCTTAAGGTGGCCATACACTCTACAACCATCGCAAGACTTTAGTCTTGCGATGGTTGTAAAGGGATTAAAAAAACGTACGATCTGCCTATCTTGGACAGGCAGATCGCACTCTCGATCATCGCAAGCCCGCCCCCCTGAGGGGCGGGCTTCCGATGACCGCAATGCTGAACGGGCAGTGTGCGCGTGCGCACACCGGCCCGTTCAGCATTTATCTTCCGAGCACCGTTCTAACCAGCCGAGAATCGTACGATTCCCGGCTGGTTTTCGAACATGCTGGTTCGACAGAAGACGTGCGACCGTACAGTAGAAACGGTCGCACGTCTCCGTTCACACTGCTCGATTATCGTACGAAAAACCGATCGCATACGATTATCGTACGATAATCGTGCAGTGTATGGGCACCTTTATAAGGTAGGAAAAGGGTGTGTCTGACCAGTGCTGTTACTGATTGCTGATTACTGAGTACACTGGGTATAAATCTGGTGCCTATTTGACTGCACAGTTACACTTATAAACCTGGCACTACTGCTGTAACATGAAAGAGGAGACAAGACTATAAAAATTGAGGTTGTTAGAACAATGCCTATCTGACTTCATATGTATTTTTCTGACTTCAACAGGGCTTGAACAAAAGTGGAGTTTTCCTTTAAATAATCATCAAACTGGTAATGCTATCCAGCTAGCACTGTAGCTGACCTATGTTTTACATTATTATATGTTATAAAACCTCTCTTTGAGAATGTAAGAAGCCGGTGCTGAGAATCTGGGAATTATTGACCTTTTTGGATTATACTGTAGGTCATTCAGAAATTAAACCCGCTTCCATCAAAAATGTTTGTTTAGCTTTGGATAAGGCAGGGAAATGTTAGAGCCTCTTTTATGTTTTTATTGCTTTCAGTGTATCTAATGGGGAGATTTAACCCTTACATCAGTGAGGACAGGAAGTGGTTGGGAATCTCTCCAATGGGAACACACACAATAAACCTGATAAATATTTCTAAAAAGAGAATGAACCCTGGAAGTTGTGCTAAAAAAAAAAGGCAGGTAGAGGGGAAAGGACTGGTCACCAATATCACCTGTGGTCTCCTTGCAGCAAATCTTTCCCCCATTAAAAACTTACCTTGCTCTCTACCATGTCTCTGCGCGGAGGCGGCCATCTTGGTTGAGGCAGGGCTTGTCTTCCTCATGTCTGCACCTCCAGTAAGGAGAACAGCACAGTAGTGACATCATATAAACTCACTCCAAATCTCTTGAGACTAACAGCCAGAGGTAGCAGTGCCTTAGATCTCACACTGCAGATATACAGCTATGAGGCTGTACTTGAGCACATGAGAGATTATGCACCCTCACATACTAGGAAGTACCCTTCTATTTTTCTGGAAGAATTAAAGCCAAAAAAAAACATATTTCATGATAGTCGAGGCTGAAGCAATGTTTTTAAATGTTCCCTAGAATATGCATAACTAAAAAAGGATGATGTTCCTAATGTGGAACAGCCAGGTGTACATGATAAATGCCTAATATACTCACACTAATTCCTCTATCCTGCAGGTGGGACTGGACAAAGCTGTCGTCAGATCAGAGAAATGAGGACCCTCCAATCTGTTATCAGTCAAGTCAAGTTTCCTCAGCGACTGGCTTGATTTTATTGCTGATGCCAACTGAGAGCAGGAAGTATGCGTTAGGTTGGCACGATTCAATCTGTAAAAAGGAAAGGCCAATAGAAGATCATAATACATATCTGCTAAATGACTAATCCAGTAGGTTGATCCCTGTCAGATGCCATCTTGTAGCCTGGTGCAACAACAGAGGGGTGGGGGGGGAGGGGGAGAGAGAGAGAATCACAGAAAACCTAGAAACATGCAACAAAAACCTCTTTTAACCTACCGTATATACCAACGAAGCCATTGTTTCCATGCACTGCACTGATGATGGCCAACAAGCTTGAAATGTTTGAGCGTGGAATAAATGCTGTTATAATATAAAGCTGGATCCATACAGTTATGGATGCACAGTTGGCCACAGGGGCACAACAAATGGTTTGCATGGCTCCATCCACCATCCTAAAATGAGGACGAAGCCTATTTTTTGGATTTCTGATTAAATTAGACATTTAAATACCTTCTGTTCTGAATGAAGTTCTAACCATGAATGTGTTTTTCATTGGTAAAAACAATTACATATTGTAATACATATGTGCGGGGCACAAAGAAACCTATTCAATATGTCTGGGATTCCATTCAAGTATCACATCTGAAATCAATTTTTAGGGGCTTTTGAACACAATTAGTTGACTCAACAATGGCGTGATCTAATTCTGTTATTCCAATGAACGTTTTAACAAAATTCTAAAAGTGTACAGCCAGCCTTAAGCTGGGTATATGTGATAAGAATTTCATTAGAAATGTTTTTTTTCAGAACGTTAGTTGGATTTTCTAATAGTCAGTAGGGGTAAAATCAACAATTGACTTCGCCCATAGTGATGAAAAAAATCTGCGATGGCATTATGCACTGTTCTGATGAGACTTTTCATATGAAAACTCATACTAAAATCTTCCTATGTATGCTCACTTGTCCTTATCGGGATATCCAGGAGCTACCCATATATGCAAATATGCACAAAGTACAAAGGTGCTGATAACGATCCATTCAGTCAAAGGGTATGAATTGTAAATCCCCAAAGCTGGATAACTCTGCCTTGCAGATATCATAAATCAGTAGTAAAACTTAGGGCAAGATAAAGTTTCAAATGCACTAGATAACTAGTTCAGTGGTGCATAAAGGTATAGGTGCCCCAGCTAGGCACCTGTGGCTCCTGGATTTCCTGAAAAGGACAAGCCAGTAGCATAACAATGTTAATATATGTGGGTTTTATCAGATACATAAAACTGGAGGTTGCCATCTTCCTTAAGCAATGCTGGGCTTCTGAGCAACATTGCTCAATGTTGATCAGAATGGTTTCTGACTCTCAGATTTGTAACCACTGACATGAGTCAAGAATTCTTATTTGTAACTTGCTGTAAGAGGGAGATTACTTTTCATTGAACCCAATGTAAGGGAAATTCTTCCCATTGACTACCAGTGTAAGGGATGATCTTGCCACTGACCCCCAGTAAAGAAGCATTCAACCCTTTGATCACTAATTTATTGAGTATTGTTTCCAGTGACAGCCACTGTAAAGAACATTCTTGCCACTGCTCCCCAATGTATAGAGCATTTTCCAGTGTAATGGCCCACTTCTCCCAGTTACCACCAATGCAAGGTGGAACTTCTTCCACTAAACAACAATCAGAGGGGTCCTTACCAATGTAAGAGAACTTTATAATTTTACTTTAATTTACACTAAAGTACGCCACATTTCTTATTCTTCTATTTATTCTTATATTGCAGCTGTTTGTACATGCTAAGGTACTGTGAACTGTAGACTTCCGATGGATTCCGAGACTTGAAAGTTATTTACAAGGGTTCCTCCTATGTTAAGAGTTTGAGACAGGCTGGTATAGTACAATACTCGTTTTCTAGTCAGTTATTGTAGTAGTCAATTATGTAGAGACTTCAGATCTCATTCAATATGCATATTATAGCTGGTTTAGTTATAACACCAGTCTGCTTATCCTTATGTATAATATGTAGCAAAGAGTCTAGACCTGAGAGCCTGTTTACACTGGCACACTTTACTGCAATAAAACACAAGTATTTTATTGTATAAAATGCATTTCAGTAGTCAAGAGAAGAAACACCTTTCTACAAGAGGTGAGAAATAACTAAGGCCTACCCCGTGAGCCAAAAATGAAGTTCACCTGTCCTGCGGGACCAAGGGGTCAGAGCCATGTTCCCCAGAAGCTACCAGAGATTGTGGAAGTATGAGTCATCTTGTGTCATCATTGTAATATGTAGAGGAGATACACAGTAATTTGCTTTACCACCCTAACTGCTCCAGGACACTGGTAGCCTCTTGTACTTACAGTAACTCTTCTATCCTGCAGGAAGCGCTGGAGAGAGCTGTCATCAGGTCACTGAGCTGAGGTCCATCCATATTGTTGTAAGACAGGTCAAGTAACTTCAGGCTCTGGTTAATACATATAGTAGGTGCCAGATGATCCAATGCATTCTGTGTTAGGCCATTGCTACTCAGGCTACAGAAAAAAAGCATATAATAGAGAACTTACTTAAAGTTTGAGATATTACAAGTGAAAGCATGTACTAAGGAATAATGGGGGCTCCACTGGTGACCTCTTCTTAAAGTGAAACTAAGCTCAGGAGATCACTTGTAGAGCAGCCTGCTTGTCTGTCCCCCTCCCACCCCCCCTCCAAGGTCCTTCCCCCCAGCAGCCCCCTCCGTGATGTTCGGGCTCCCCCGCTATTCTGGGGGACCTGGGACCACAGCAATAATTTTAAGATGGAGAGTGGGGAGCAGACCAGAGAACATCCATTCCCTGATTTGCTTTGTGATCAGTGACACAGGAACGCTGTATTCACAGTGCTTCCTGTATCAGCTGTCACATGTGGAGCTGTACAGAAGATCCAGCATAATGCTGTGCTGGATTTTCTGTACTGGAGGGCAACCTCATAAGCCTGTCACCTCTGGATGACATCACATAGGGTCTTGTTATTCCCTGTGTGATATCAATAAAGTTAGGTGAAAAAAATAACAAATACAAAATAAAAATGAAAAATAGTGATACAAAAAGATTACAAATTTTAATACAAAAGAATAAAATAAAAAACGTGATCAAAAGGTTAAAAAAAATACAAAAATTAAATAAAAATTAAAAAAAGTAATTAAAAAGTAAAAACTATATAAAAAGGTGCTAAAAAAGGGAAATAAATACAAAATAAAATAAAAACTAACCCCACCACACACAAGGACCACGGGGAACAAAAGTAGCCACCCTCCAGAAGGGAGGACAGTGTCAGAATGAATGCAGAGATGATTTGATGATCTACAGCCGAGTGATACAAATAAGCCCCATTTTTGATAATAGTTAGAGTACTTGAATGCATTTTTAAGATTTAACTCTGGAGTTTAGAGTCACTTTAAGAAAATGTTAGTTCCCTGGTTTTTAAATCAATGGCTTTAGCTCCTTTTCATATGCTTTCCAGGCTATGTTTTACCTGCATTGCTAAGAATGCCTGCAGTTTACAGAATACAGTAGCTCAAGCTCTAAATTACACTACAAAAGTGAAAATGTGTGAGTCAGAGCTCATTCCTCTCCCTGCCTGCCTGTTCTGATGTATTCAGTAAGAGATTCTCAAAGTAAACAGCTTCTGCTCTGCTACCTCCTCAGAAAGCCTCTTCAGATCTATCGATGAATGTGTCACTTAGTACACTTACCATAACTTCTGGATCTTGCAGTTAGGGTGTTTTAATGCAGCACAGACAATCTTAATGCCATCATCCTTCAAATTGTTGTCTCGTAGACTGCAGAGGAAAATGAGAAAGGAATTATTATTTGTAACTTTATTTAAATTTACAATGACTCATAATAAACTTAAGGCATTCTGAGATGAGAAAAAGGAACACCTTTGCAGCACAATATATTTAGGCATTCAACACCTTCCCTACTACCGTATGCCTCCAGTTATGTCACCCATCAAGAATTTATACGTCAAAAATGATTGGTTAAACCCAGATTTTTTTTTTTTTTTTTTTTCAGGGACAAATGAGGAGGAAAGAGGGACAGAGGGATTTGGTCCCAAATGAAGGACAATTGTGACCTATGTTTAAGTTGAACTCCAGGCAAACAGCTAAATATACAGATAAAATAAATATACTGTATGTGAGCTGTTTTACTTGCCAAAATTTCTGTCCACCCGGTCTTGAGATTTACACAGATCTGCACAATAATCCAGTCCTGCTTGGCAGTGGAAGGGACCTGATCTTTCTCTGCTGCAGTTGATCTTTTCCTTACAGGTTTCCTCTCGACCCCCACATTCCCTACTGGACAGTAAAAGGAGAAGCAGCACACTTATGAGCTCATCTCTCTGTCACTTTACTCTCCCCTTCTATCAGCAGCTGCAGGAGGCTGATCTCAAGTCCAGTTTAAAAAGTTGCATACATTTGCATCTTTTATATCTGCTTGGAATTCAGCTTTACCGTCTTATACAGGACTCTCCCTTCGCTCTCCTTGTAGCCTGAAATCCCTCATCCATTTCATTAATGTAAAGTCCTAAATACTGTATCTTTCACCAACGTACCTGAACATTTTATATGTTGTACCTTATGTGTTGTAACTAATTGTGTAAAAATAATTAATGAGGTTTTAAAAATTGTATTGATCACTTTATTATTTCTTACCCTCCATAGCCAACTGGCTAACATATATATATGGCAGCAAGAAGATGGCCTTTAACACCTGGCGCCTTTAGCACAGTAGCACAGTGACCGAGCTGTCACTAACAGCTCCCGTTGTATGTTTATGATGAGGAACCAGGGCTGGCTCCTGATCATATGATCACTGTGAATGGCTGTCACAGGGACCACATGATTGGCAGCCCCTCCCCAACTCCCATTGTTAAGGAACTTTTAAAGAGCGGGCGAAAAGGGGTTAATATACAGTATATTTATTTGTTATATTGTTTTTGTCACGTTTATATTTTGTGCACTATCTCCCTTTGTTCACTCAAAGGATGCTCCCAAAACTAGTAGGGACTAGTTTATACGGGCAGCCCTCCTAACCTAACATGGTGGCTACTCTGCTTTGTACACACTCCATGGCCACAATACTTGCATGGTTGCTGCAAATTTTATACCGCAGGTGGCACCACCTGCCAAAACACGACCATTGCAGTCAATGGTATTGCTTGGAATTTAAAAAAAGGCATTCAAGTTATCTACTACTTTACAGATATAATTCCTGGAGCTCTCTTTGAAAAAAAACATGGGCAACTCAGCTGTCATAATACAAAATAATAAATGTAAAAGGGTTGGGGTATAGCATTTACCTGAGGTCTTCTACTGTATGTAGAGCTGAAACAAGCCTTCCCAAACCCTCCTTCTGAATACGACATGACTCTAGATTAAGCCTTTTTGTTTCTTTGCAGGATTCCAAAATGAATGGAAACACGCTACAATCCAAAGGAGTTAGAGGGACATAGGAAAAGTCTAAACTTTGGTTTGATCCAAGAGATTTCAACACAAGAACTTTATTCCGGGTCTCAAACAGATACTCAAAAACAGTTATCAGTTGTTTGTTATCATCTTTGTACTCATCCAGCTTCCAAGCATCACAAATGGAATTCTGGAGCCAGTTGATGATGACCTTTGGCGTTTCAAGAGATAGTTCCTTCAGATAAGGTTTTAAAAGGGAACCAGTGGAGGCGTCTGAAAGACCACAGAGAAAACGAAGAAAAAGTTCAGCACGGTTGTCCTCGAATGATTTGGCCTCTCGAAGTGATGTCTGCAGCTTCTCGGGGGAATAGTCAATGTAATGTATTAGAGCGGCAAAGAATTCCTGAATCGTGAGGTGTAAGAAGGAAAATGTCACTTCTGGAGATTGACCAGCTTCTGTCATGAAACTGGAAAAAAGAGGTGACTGAATGTCAACAGAAAATGAATTCAGATGTTTTTTGTCAAAAATTACAGTGTGGTTCATGACTCCATATTCTGCCATCCGTCCAATGGATGATAACAGTTCACGAGCGCCACTGCTGTCCTGGCAGTGATTGAACAAAATGTTTGCAATATATGTCACAAAGAGCTGTGTCACAGTTTTGGGCATTGAGGACACGATCTGGCCATCAGCAGTTGACTTGCCCTTAAAGCAAGCTGATAATACTGTACAAATGATCCAGCAGTAGGATGGAATATAACAGAAAGTGTATAGACTGTCATTCTCTTTGACGTATTGAAACATCTTGTTGGATAATTCCTTGTTTGTACAGAAACATTCAAAGTACATTTGTCTCTCCCTGGAAAAGAACCCCATGATCTCAGATACTCGCTGAAAAGCCTCCAGATCTATTGATGCAAGCTTGGTTGGGCGGCTGGTCATTAGCACAGAACAACCCTTGAGAAGTGACTGTCTTACTAGGCTGACCACAATGACTCCAAGACCTTTGGCATGTTTTATGTCAGAACAAAGCATGGTTGACCTGAAATCCGTTTGGTGGACACTCTCATCCAACCCGTCAAAGATGAACAATACGTTTTCTGGTTCTAGTAGGATCTTGTCAAGCTCTGGTTGCAGATGAGGATATTCCTGAAGGATCAGCTTCTCCAAGCTGACCTCTGTAATTTGGTTAAGTTCCCGGAATTTGAAGAAAAAGATAAAAGAAAACCTCTGGTAGTGTTTTCCCATCACCCAGTCGTAAACAAATTTCTGCATCAGTGTGGTCTTTCCTACTCCTGGTACTCCGCTTACCATTATCATACGGGGCACACATGCTGACCGATTACACCATCGGAACAGTCTACCTGAGGAAATATGCTCTAGCTGACTTGATGCTGCAAGCAAACAAATCTCATGCTTTATACCTGTGTCAATGAGCTCATTCTTGGATTGTTGTCTAAACTGATTGCCGGAAACCACAACTAGGTTCACAAAGCGCTCTGAAATGCAGAAACTTTGCTGTTCCAGGGTAGTTCCGGGGGGTTGTTTTTCCACAAGATTCCAAGTTTTAGTCAGTAAGTGTTGCTTGTGGCATTTCTGGATGTCTAAAAAATGAATACATTAATTATTAATTAACCACTTTGCGTCTGAAGCATTTTATTTTTTCACACTCACAAAATCTGCAGTTGTTAACAACAAATTATTTTAAACCCTCAAACAATTATATATTTTCTGAAATCAGTGACCCTGACTAGACATGTGACTAGGACATGTGACCATGCACATCATCTCAGGAAAGGAAAATGCCTTTCCTTGAGATCTCGTGAGATTACAAATGAGATTTCCCAGCAATGCTCTGCTGATGACAAGACAATCCCAGTGTGCATTGCTTTGGCAAACTGAAGTCATTTTGCCCTTTCAAAGCAGGAAGTGAATGCTCTGCAAGTGTAAGTATTTCACAATCACAGCATTTTACACCTGACATGTCTATGTAATTATTAATCATCATACATAGAAGGATGCATTGGTAGAATTTGATTTTTGAGTGTAAAGGCCCGCTTTAAAATGTCATGAACTATTGAAATGGCGAAAAACTACAGTACCCAAAATTGACCGTAGGTGACAATTTGCAAGCCTTTACAGGTCATCAGTTTACAGTAAACAGTGAATAATGGCCCTAGAATTATTACTTTTGCTCTGACATGAATGGCAATACCTAACAATACTTATTGCTATAACAAGGGGGATAACAAGGAAGGAATTTGTATGAGAATTTTTTAAGAATTATGCGATTGTCCCCATTTGCAAATGTAAATGTGGGCTTAGACCCTTAATGTCTCCCCCTCCTTCCTCTCCAGCCGATCAAGCACTCAGCTGTTTACCCAGACATTTCGGACAACTCTGAACCCGGAAGTGCTCAGAGAACAGTGTTTTCGGGTTTATTGATCACAGAGCAGATGTTTCTCCAATCAGCTCCTGTTCACCATTCTGATGTAATATACAGTGGTCCCAGGATATCCGGAGAAGCAGCCGCTGTCTGCATTGCATTACCAAGCTCAAAGCCCCAGTGATGATGTCACTGGGTCTAAGATAAAGTATGTAATGAAATTATAAATTATTTATTTAAAAGTTTAATTTGTATGTTATATGTGGGGTGGGAGACCAGGAAGGCCAAAATATAAACAGATTAACTTTATCTTTACAAACTAAAAAAAAACAACAACATTCAGTTGACTTGTTACCTTTAACTTCAAAAGTCAGCGAGTGGCCAAGCTCATCCAGTAAGATTTGCTGCACCAGATTTTCACCTAAACACAAAAAATCAATGTGTGATGCAAATATTAACCTCTAGCGAATACAGTGTCACTTTCTATGCATTGTAGTAACTTTATGTACATCTTAAATAGCACCCCAATGCACTAAGGCAATGCAGCTACCATTTTTTGTGGACGTTCTTGATGTTGGCAGCTGATTCAAAATGAATAGACAACCTTAACGCAACGGTCTGAATGGGCTCTTACTGTTATGATGATTGAAGGCATGTAAAATTTCACCAAAAAGCAACTTTTTGGTATTTGTCTTCTAAAATGTCTAAATTTTGACAGCTTCTTTCTAATGCTCCTCAACAAATCACTGATGGTGTTTAATTATAATTGATAAGGAAGGAACTTGTGATTATATTGCTGCACACAACCATACGCTATATGTCAAATGAGGCTGGTGACCGTAGGCAATGCCATCATATTTGATAGTCACTAAATATAGCTAAATAGCGTGGTATGATTGTTAATGAATTGGTTTTATGTAACTCAGGCTGTACAGCTTGCAAAATTATCCACCCCCTTTGGCATTTTTCTTATTTTGTTGCATTACCACCTGGAATTAAAATGGATTTTTATTTGGATTACATCTAATGGACTTACACAAAAAAGTTCAAAATGGTGAAGTGAAATCAAGAAAATAACTTGTTTTAAAAAATGATTAAAAAAATTAAAATAGAAAGGTAATGCATGCATATGTATTCACCCCTTTGCTACCCCCTACATAAGATCTAGTGCAACCAATTACCTACAGAAGTCACATAATTAGTGACTTCTAAAGTCAGGAGTTAAATCTTAAAAATGCATTCAAGTACCTTAACTATTACCAAAAATGTATTTGTGCTTCATTCGACTGTGCACCCTCAAATCATCTATGAATTGCTGCTGACACTGTCCTTCCTTCTGCAGAGTGGCTACTTTAGTTTCCCATGGTCCCTGTGTGTGTTGTAAAGTAGCCACCACTCCAAGCTTGCTCCTGTACTCCTGTACTACTACATAAGAATGCAAAGTGTGCTGGTGTTAAATTCTGTCGGTTCTATGAAATCCTATGGTTCCTCCAGTGGTTACTAGGGGTTTCCTGAGCAATGAGCAATTTCTGACTCTCAGATAAGTAACTACTGACATCAAATTTTTTTTTTAGCTATCTGTAAGGGAGGCATTCACTGACCCCTCCCTCATGTAAAGGACATTCTTGACATTGACCGCTAACGTAAGGGTCATTCTTCCTGCTGACCCACCAATGTAAGAGACATTATTCCCATTGACCAGAAGTGTAAGGAGGCCACTCTTCCAATCACCAATCTAAGGGGGCCCTTCTCCACTGACCACCAAAGTAAGGGGACACTTTTCCATGGACCACCAGTGTGAGGGATCACTACATTTTTCACTGTCTACATTTCTTTTCTGGCCATTACTGTTTGATTCTTTTCATTATCATTACTGAAAATAATTTTGTTGTATAGAGCAGCCCAGGGTGTCAAATAGTTTAAGCATGTCACATCCCTTTTTTGTTCAAGCCAAAGTTCCCCAAGTTGTAGATATACTAATTATTAGCAGAGATTCCTTTTGACTCAAAAGATATTTCAGGGGTTCCTCTGCGTTAAAAGGTTAAGAAAGGCTGCTTTAATCCAATAGTGTCACAGGAGCCTTTAACCCCATCCAGACTACACCCTGAGCCAGCCATAGTCTTAGCTCAATGGTTCTTTGGATACGGTACATACCCTTAAAACCCAAAATGTTTTGGTTTTCAGTTTTTAATAGAGTTGGTCAAAATTAGAGCTTTTGTCAGGGTGTTATTGTGGCCTGTGCCCTCATCGAACACAATTCCCTTTCCTTCCTATCTTGATGACACCAGGAAAAGAAATAAGAGTATGTGGGTATTAGAGAGATATCAGTTGACTTCCTATCTTTTAGACACCCTATAACAGGACCAGGAAGTAAGGATAAATCTCTACAATGGAGACAGAAAGCAAGACAAACCCCACAGATGTTCTGTTTAAGCTTTAACACTAAGACATAGAGGCTGTCATAAGAATCATGAAGACAACAGATGAAAGCAGATTAGCCACCACTAGACACAGGAAGTATATTCACAACTTAGTTAGCTGGGCAACATTCCAACTGGAGCCTAGTGTTTTGCTTTTAACTAAAGATCTGTCTACATTACCTGTCTTAAGTATCTCATCCAGTACAGAGCATAGATTAGGAGGTGAAGAATCAGTGCATAGTATATGGAGACATTCCCAGAAACTCAGTATAGCCTCTCTTCCTGCATGTAAAACATCTTGAACCAACTTCACTGAGAATTCAGAAGCTTCGATTTCATCTTTCATTTTCACATAATGCTAAAGAACAGTTATAGACCATGAATATAAGAAAAACACAGCGGTTTGTATATTCACATGATAATAGTACATGGCTACTCAATTTGACCTAACTAATTAATACATTTATGGTGGCAAGCAGTAATGAGCAAGCTGGCCTGGGTTTGGTTTGCTTGGACGTTCACTACACCCAAACCAGCATTCCAGGTTTAGTGAATGTCTAAGTAAAACAAACCTAGGGCTGTCTGTGTCCTAGCAACCGACAATGTTGTGCTGGCTCAGCCACCAAAGGGCAATCTGCAGATTGCACATCATGATTGTTTGCTAGGACACAGATGGAGGTCCGGCAAACAAGCAAACTGGCCACAGCTTGGGTTTGGGTCAAACTTATGGTCATCCCAAATCCAAAACTCATCCCTAGTGGAAAGGAGCTAAACCTCTGCTTCAAGCAGCCTGTTGTCTTTAGTACCATTATGCTACCTATTTATCCATACTAATAAATTACATTTCATGAGACACCAGTTTCGTTATATTAACATTTGCGTTTATCAACATAGATTTTTTTTTTATTAGCAACTCCCTTATACTTCAATAGCATCAGAGATGAAATAATCTCAGAGTTATTTACTGCTGCTGACCAGGGATGTGCGGTCAGGGGAGGCAGGTGAGGCAGAGCCTCACCTACAATTATCGAGGAAAAAGCAGTCAGTTTCAAGCCTGAAGCTGACAGCTTTTCCTCCATTCAGATCGGCATCTAACAGGTTACAGAGCAGGGGAATCCTCCCCGCTGTGTAACCCGTCATGGATGAAGCACTGCCTGTTAATTACAGGCAGCGCTGCATCCGGATTTTGACAGGTACTTAGTGAGGGACAGGGAGACTCCTCCCTGTCTCCTCCCTTCCTCCTTCACACTAGCTTGGCGATGGGTTGGGGGCGTGGCTTCACCCGATGGGTTCGGGTTCACTGCTGCCGACAGCCTTTACAACTTAATGAATGGGGCACTGTAAGCTCTCAATCTGATTGTAAAATCTCCTTTAGATCCACCAACAACATTGTAATGCAAAGGCCTGCTAGATTAGATACAAATTGCATGTATTGTATAGAAAGAGCCCCACATCACCTAGTTTGGTTAAGACCCCATATATACTTGAGTACTTCAGCGCTTCTGTATTAATACAGAGCTACATTAATTTGTGTCTTTAATACCTGCCTGGGGTTCAGCTTTACCTGATGTCTCCACCTACCTCCCATTTTTGAGTTGTCTGAAGTTGCAGTTCAGCAAGAAGTTGGTTAGTGTTCAAAGATCCCACAATGTAGATAAGGTCATCTTGGAAGTACTCATATACCTTACAAAGCTGCCAATCCTCAAATGCAGATAACTGTTGACGGAGCTTCCAGGCATCACCTGAATAATAGATGACACAACCAGAGTAATGTTTAGATCGCCGGAGACTAACCGTGCACATTATCTTCCTACCAACTCATCTCCCACAGAACATTTGATGGCTCTTCTGGAACAGTCAGAAGAAAGAAAAGAAAGAAAATATAATTGGCGGAAAGGTTGGATTTGGTCTTCTGCTCCTAGGCAGAGATATACTGTGATAAGTAAAAACTGGCCCTGGATACAGTGCTATAGTTTACTACCACTTAAATTAGCTAATTTCTCCTCCATCAAAGAACTCCAGGAAGGAAAAAAAACAGTTTTTTTACCACTGGAAAAATAGTGTAAAGTCCACTAGAAGTGTGAAGGGTCATCATCGTTAAATTTCAGTGCCAAGTGGTTGAAGGAAAATCTACATGTCTGTATATGAACCACCATTGTAAAAATATGCCATAGCAAAATAATAACATGCAAAAAAAATTACTGTCGTGTAGTCACTACAATAATAATTTTCCCTTTCAATAAAAGTGCCAACAACACACACAAAATCTTTATAGAGTTTGGGAACATTGAATTGTCTTCTGGCTACCAAATGCCCAATGATGATCCCACTGAAGCAATGAGGAGGAAAGAGACTTTCTAGAGTAAAGGACAGAACATATTGTTACCTCTGCTACACGTATTGCTATGCCATTGGATTCAGTTCATGACTTACCCTCTACGGTGTCCATGATGTAAGTTGTGTTGCAGAGGATACAACTGGCCTTGTCTGCGTGTCACATCCTGGCAGCCACTCAGAATTGCCTCCTTAAAATCTTTATAGGTATAGTGAACGGTGTCCCAACACTGCTCAACTAGTGTTGGATCACCATACGATACACCTATAAAGATTTTTTAACGGAGTAAAAAAATGTCCAAGATAAAAACAATTTTGCCTTCTGAATACAGAGTTCCAATTATGAAAACAGAGGCCACCAACTAAGTCAAGATCTAAGTTGAATGCCTAAATTTATCTTCAGCCTCCTCTTCACTGTCTCACTTCTTCGACAAGTTCCAGAAGTCCATATCCTCTAATTAATAAGCCTCTCAGCTGATATTCTATGTAATATTGCGACGATGCCTGTTGGCATTCTCTGCCTGTGCAATCTCTTTAGGATCACTTGTTGACCTTTGGCTCATTAATGACAGCAATTCATTTTAACGTCACCGTGAAACCGCACAACCTTTGTGCCATGTCTGCACCTATAGGAGTCACTGCACTTGGGATTAACACCTGAGATCATTTACTGTGTGTACACAAAGGCTTTGATATATATATGAAACAGCTTCACAACTAAATTGTCATAGTGCTTGTCTGTGTGTGCTGTGTCTGCCTGTGTGCTCTGAGTATTGTCCATTGACTGGAGATGCTATCTGTGTGTTATCTAACTGCATGTGCTCTGTTTGTATGCTCTTTCCTTTCCACGTGTGTGCTTTTACAATGTGCATGCTGTGAGCTGTAAGTGGAAATTGCTCAGCGCCAGGGCCGCCATCAGGGGGGTACGGCCGATATTGATGTAAGGGGCTAGCGCAGCCTTAGGGGCCCGGGAACCTTACATGGGCATCGGCCGTACAAGTGATAGGCCCCGCAGCACCAGAGGAGGTCGGGGCCCGCCTCCGGTATCACCAGGGGGTCTCCACTGTACATTAGCTTTTTAAAGATGGGCGCCGTGAGTAGCGGCGGCCATCTTTAAACCTGGCAAGCGCCCACATCTAGTTTAATATATTGCCGAGCAATATATTAAATGAAAATCATGCCCTGGTGGGGAATTAGTATGATCTGCATCTCTTGCTGATGCAGATAATACTGATCTCTCCATCGTGGTTTCTCAGGAATCGATTAGTATGGTCTGCATCAGCCAGAGTGCAGATCACACTGATCCTCCACTGAAGCCTTAGCCCAGGGATGCAGCCTCCCTTCCTGCAAAACAGGTAAGCAGGAGAGGGGGACATTTTTTTAAATAACTTTTATTGTTAGTGTGTGTGATGTGTTTTAATGAGTATGTGATTTTTTTTTTTTTTTAATAAAGCTATGTGTGTGTTTTTTAATGAGTGTGTGTATGATGTGGGGAATATGTGTTTCATTACGCGTGTGTGTTTTTTTCTTATAACCACTTCCTGCGGGTTCACGTAACTGTACGTCATCCGCTGGAAGTTGTTATGATGTGGGGAATATGTGTTTCATTACGCGTGTGTGTTTTTTTCTTATAACCACTTCCTGCGGGTTCACGTAACTGTACGTCATCCGCTGGAAGTTGTTATACCAAGAACATGGCTGCTCCTGCAGCCATGTTCTTGGTACCATGTTAAACAGCTGGCTATTGCTGTTTAAATACAAGCGATCCGGCGTCTGTACAGGGGCTGGATCGCTTGTACGGTGCGGCGCCGTGTCCCCCTCCACGGCCACCGGTGCCGCCGTCAGCTTCCTGGGCTCATCTGTCCCTCGTGTGAGCCCAGGCTGGGCGTGGAGGTTCTCCCCTGACAGATCGGAGGAGAGATCAGTGGCTTCTAGCTGCGGATCTCTCCTCCGATCACTGGACCCTGAAGTGCATCTTAGGGCCCGTTCAAACCACTTGCATGCTGCAAGCACTATTTTGACTGCACCGGACCGCAGGCACAATGTGCCCTGCGATCCCATGGGGGCTATTGCATTGTGGCCGGAGGGCGTGGCTATGGCACCATTCACTTCAATGGCCCGTCACGCCCCCTCCTACCAGGCAAAGAATTGAGCCGGCTGCAATGCGATGCAGTGCGTTCCGGCCGTAATTGGGCCGGAATGCACTGCAAGTGGTGTGAACGAGCTCTTAAAGCCAGAGGATAAAGCAGATGAAGCAGATCTCTGCTTCATCAGCTTCTTTGGGGTCCCTATGTGACATTAGGGGTATGAAAGACCCCTGATGTCTCCATAAAGAGGACCTGTCACATTATATTTGCTATTACATTGGAGGATTTTTAGCCCCCTATGTGATAGCAATAATGTTGAGTGTAAAAATAAAAAAAATTAAAAAATTAAAGTAACATAAAAAAAGTAAAACATGCAAAAAAAAAATGTTTTAAGGTCCCCCACAAACACGTGTCGGATGCGCCTACATGCAAAAACAAAAATTGCACCACACATGTTATGTATCGTCACGAACGCCGCAGTGAGAACAATAATTCAAACAATCTCGGCCCATCAATTACTGACAGCACTAAACTGATGAGATGTAAAAGCATTTAAAGTGTCGCCTATGGGAAATTTTGGTTATTGTAGTTTTTTGCGGTTTCCCCGGCGTGACCCTGTCTTTTCTATTTTACCAAAAAATTGGCCATTATATTCTGTTTCTGTGCACTAAATTTCATTTTAGTGTATATTATCCTAAAAGTACTTGTTTTAACATGTGATAAACAAATGTGCTAAACATTTGCACGAATACCGTGCAACATAAAAAATTGCAACTAGCATATTTTTATTCTACAGGGCCTCCGCTTTCTGAAAATATATGTGTGTGCGCAACTGTAAGAAATAGTTTCGGGCAGCAAGTGGTTAATGAGTGTATAAATATTTGAATGTCAGGGGGAATAAACGACCTAGTGATTCTCCCTCATGGAAATGCAGTGACCATTTTGTTCTCTTTTTCCCTCCTTTTCTGTTTCTTCTTCTGCTGTTTTCCCGCTCTTTGTGCTCTATCCCAACAGGATTGGTCATAACAATATCCGGGCAGACTTACCTTAGTCTAGGCGGGAAAAGCTGCAGGTAGCAACAGCTCCTGATTGGCTGAAGAGGCTTATAAAAATATGGACCGTTGTGACCTTCTCACCTTTCTTCAGCTGACATCCAGAAGAGCTCCTGGACAGATTGGTCATGGAAGATCTGTGGCAACAACTAACTCGTCGAGCTCAAGAAGAAGATGGGATTAGTTTTCTTCAACAGTGTCTCAGTCTCTCCACTACGGCTGGAAGTCTTTCTTACCTCCCTGCTGATATCCCCGGGTCTGCTGGGTCTGGTCCCTTCATCAGGAATGTCACTGATACTGTTCGGAGCCCAGCGCCGCCCGTCCCATCCCAGCGGGCAGAAGATTTTCAGTTATTTCCCATGCTCGCCCCGACTTCGGCATCGTTATGTCCTCCAGCTCCAGCCTCTACCATCGAGTTGCCGGTCACTGAAGAGGAAGTGACGCAACAATTACAGGAAGTGGGCGGAGTTTCTGTTGTGGACCGGAACGGCGGTTTTCGTCAGGGAACCCGCCAGCGGAGGAGACGAAGGGCTTACTCACCTTCTCCTCCACGCCCTACCTCTAGAAGACCCAGGATTGTGGCTCCCTCTCCGCGGCTGCGGGCACCTAATTTTCTGACCCGGCCCCTTCAGATAGCGGCAGGAACGGATGCTCGGCTGCAGCACCATCGCCCCGGCAACCTGCTCAGCGTCCTGTGTCTGCGGGGCCAAGTCGGTGTCCTCCACATGGAACCCAGCCTGACACTTCTCGGCTCCCTCCACTGCTGCCACAGCCTGTCACCTCTCTGCTCGCTCCAACACTGCCTCCTGCTTCTGAATCATCGGGTGAGCACCCTGCTGTTTCTTTTAACCCTTTAATGGAGCAATTTCGCTTGTTTTTAAACAGTAGAAATGTTGTACCTACTTCTGCTGCTTCTGTATCTCCTGCTTCTGTGTGGAATCCTGTTTCCTCTCCATCCTTTCCTTGTCCTTTCGTAGCTATTGTTTCTACTGTGGACACCTGTGTGTCCCCTATACCTTCTATTAGGAAAGAGGTCCCAGAAGTATGTTACAGGGAAGTTATGTCTTGTGACTTATCCCCATTGGGTTTCCACTTGTCTGGCCCATTGAAAGAAAAAATTTGGAATGGGGAGTATGTGGAAATTTTGTCCTTACTCCCGTGTTCAAAAGAATTTTTATCCAGGTCTGACAAGAGGATTGATGATAATTCTGAAGTTGATAGGCGCCGACCTGTGGCGAGAACCTTTCAGAAAAGGTTACAAGCGTTTTGTGTTTTTGCAAGCGTTTTAGGAGAGAAACAACCCAAAATGTGCAGTGGTCTTTTTCAGCATGTTGACATTGTTCTTGAAGCGTATAGGGGTTTTGGAGGTC